ATATTTATATATATATATATATATATATTACACGTAAGTATACATATATAACCATAGATGATAAGATGTATATTAGGATTATAACTTTTGTTAACTTGTAATAAATTTTAATTATTCTTAACCCTTGTTAAGTCAATTAATTTATTTAATACCATAATAAACTAAAAAATTTACTGGTAACGTATATAATAATTTTAAATGATTGATTTAAACTTTTCACTTTGTTATGCAAGGTTCGGGTATCACATCATTGTGAACAGTTGAGCATAATAGTCATTTTGAGAAAATGGGTATTAGATACATTGATGATTACCTCTAGTTCAAGTGGGGGATTGTTGATATATGTGTCCTAGAGACAATTTTTACAAGGACATATATACATGATCACATTAATAATCATATTGGATTATAATTATGATATTGCAATTAATTAAATAATTGTTTGATTGTTTATAATTTATTAATTAATTGCTCCGTTGAGTTGATAATGTCATTAACAGAGTGAGCTGTTAATTGATAAATTATAACTCTCAAATCGCCTCAATCGATGATCATTAATAAAGGGATATTAATGATACGCGATAGATTGACATGTGGTCTGCATCATATTCTTGGAGAATATAGTATGTTTCACTGTTATGAATAATTGTTATTCGTGATGGACACATGGATACTTCGAAGAGTATTGGCATACCCTACCGATAAACCATTTGTACGTGTCTATGGAAGTATCGGTGTGTGGAATTGTGTAATAGTCCTTTGACTTGATGTCAATGCGCAATTTATGTATAGAGTGATTTACTTAAACCTAGTCCAACGCTTACGCCCTTATGGGTAGACACGGGCTTGTGTGGAGTAGATCATGATATACATAGAATTGGTAGTTGAGTTAAGATAGGATTCAATCCTCGAATATAGTTTCGAGAGAATACTCGTTTTCTCTGTACTGGGTTGATAAAGTCATTAACCAATACACGTGATTATATTTGAAATAGTTTTCAAATATAATTAATTAGAATCAACCAGTAAGATAAGATAAAATGATTAAGCTGTTTAGATAGACACACAATCAAGTCCTAAGCTCAATCGAGTGGTTCGTGAATGAAGGGACCGTATCATCATTGAGTTCTGCACTAAAGATTTGTTTTCTTATCCATGTAAACGTACTTCATATTTTGAGTTCGTCTTTCGATGTAGTTTAGGAGTTTTGTAAGGATCATAAATTAGAATTATGTAAATATATAAAGGCCTATAGGGTCACACAATATGCAGTCAGTTTTCCGACTAAGAGTGAATCGAGAGTGTTAAATATTCAATTAGATTGGAATATTTATTTATGAGTAATGAGATTATTTTCTATTTGATGGAAAATATTTAATTAAGTTAAATTGGATTATACTTAATTAATAATGAGATAATTTTCTGTTTGATGAAAAATATTTAATTTAGTTAAATCTATTAATATATAATAAAGATTAACTTAATTAATTTTTAGAAACTATTTTCCGCCAAAAATATTAATTACTGCCTATAAATAGTAATTTAACAAAACAAGCATTAATTGCACATAATTTCCTTTTTTATATTAAATTAAAAAGTTATAAATATCCGTATATATCTATACAAATATAAAACAAGCATTAATTAACTTACCAAACGTCCTTTTTGATATTAATTTAAAGGTACAAATATCCGTATATAATTATACACCCTCAATGTTATTTTAATAAATATATTTAAAAAAATCTATAAATCAGTTGGTTTTGAAATAACCGATAAAAATGGTAATGATATTTTTTGGATTTCGGTACAATAAGGAGAATTTTTTGGAAGCTACATAAATTCGTACAAATATTTGTTTTTCTTTAAAATATAGATATATTCGTTTTTCTTTAAAATATAGATATATTTCTTTAAAATATACATAATTTCCTAAAATCGCTCTTATTTATTTCCGATTAACAGCAATTGTTTATGAAATAAATCATTATTTCACGCCAAGATTTTTGATTTTTTTTTTGCTACATTAACATAACATGGAGCGTTGATTGCAATAGATATATACTATGGAATAAATCTCCTATTTTTAAGCCTCCATATAAATCTATAAATCATTTATATGATAAAATCGCAATAATATCTTTTTATTTAAATAATTTTCATCAAAGTAGCTCAGGGTGTAGTTCATGCGAACTCTGGTCCGGGGCAAGAACGTGTTACCTCACCATTAAGGGGCATTTCTTTTTGTACTATTGGAGAAATCCTCAACGGTAGGATCACTTTTTTCGGTACCAACGTATGTAAAAGGATATTCACTACCACAATTATTTCTTTACGTCATTCACAGCGTTCAGAGAAAAAAAAAATTATAGTGATAAATTTTAGAATACAACAATAATATCATGCAGCCGGTCTGGGATATACTCAATTCTGTGAGTAGGACAAACAAACCTTATTTGTGATTGAAAGCAGTCCGAATATTTGAAACGCATCACGAACGAGAGAGCTGGAACGCATTCCATATACTGTTTCATGATGAACAGGTAAATATTTTTATTAGTAATATCAAATTTATAAATTTATTTTATAAATTTATTTTTATTAGTATTCTGAATAATTTATTTTTTTTTTGTGAAAAAATATTTTAATTAATATTTATAAATTTATTTTGTAGGGTGCATTTATTAAAGGCATAATACGTTCTACAAATAGGGGAGCATTTCGAGGTGTACTGAACGAAGGCGAGGTGTATGCAATCAACAACTATGTCGTTGAATTTAAACATGGGAAGAAAGATATCATAACCAACATATGGAAACTTGTGCTTCACAAAAGAACTCGTGTTATCAAATATGGTGGGATTTTCCCTCAAAATGGTGATCTTTTCCCTCAACATTAGCAAGGAGCGTGAGATATTTATGATATTTTAAGGTTTGATAAGAATTCCAATTTACATTATGAATTTCATTGTTATTCCATGTCCTTCAAGGTTATTATTTGTAATATATTTATTGTTTTATTAATTTTATTATGTTTTATTGTCATTCCATGTCGTTGAATTATGAATTTTAGTGTTATTATATTTGTTATCGTGAGATGACGTCTCTCATTCATTTCGATTAATGATTTATATGTTCAAAAATGCAACTGACGATCCAAGTTATTTAAAGGACAGGCTATATTAGCGCCTACTTTGGAGGTCGTCGAGTCTATCAATAGATACATGTCGGATATGAATTCTACTGAAGGTCGTACATATTTGAGCTCTGACAGTACGTCTAAGTCAGATTCCAGCAATGGCTTTTTGGTTGATCTCCACACACCTGAGTTCTTGAATAGCATTAAGTGTTCAGGAACGCCGAACCATGAGTTGCATTTGAAGATAGGAACTTCAGTCATGTTGTTGCGGAACATGAACCATTCTATGGGTCTGTGTAATGGCACATGTTT